GAGATCCAATAAAACATCAATGAAACATCACAGTCGTCAACTTTTGAACGACCGTGATATTACTTATTATAGAAGAAGATATATCAATAATTTTGTGATGAGTAACTGAAACAAGATTTTATCGCAATGCAAACCATACTGAGATCGGCAATAAATTGTTTAATGCAAGTGCTTCTTCTAACAAAACCGCGACTTTAAAATTTTGCCGCACCTGAAAACTTTACAAAAATTACAAAAAAATGTAAAGTTTTCTGGCTAAAATAGTTGCGCCAATGGTCAACTGAATCGTTAACAAACCGCAAATCCTAATCATCATCATTGGGTAAATACTCAATGTATTTATTATTAACAATAACGAGTTTTAACATTAAAATATGCTATTATTGTTCATTGAGTAAAATTTTATATATTATTATATTTTAGTGGAATGTCATATGCTAAGCCAATTTACATAAAATAATAAATGAATTGTTTAAATGATTATAAAGATATACACGGTTTAGAACATTCCTCATTGTCTTCTTTAAAGGAACACATACATGGCTTCAGCAATATTTTATTTATATAACTTTATAATGTTTAAAAATCAAATTAACCTTCCTATTGCATCAGTAATCTTCTGGGGATAGAAATAACTCATTTAAGTATATGACTATGAAGGCCATAAGCAATAGTTGACATATATAAGTTAATATAATTAATGTAGCTAAAAAAAACATAATGGATTATTTTTAAATGCAACCCTCCAACCCCAATAAAATCATGTGTTACAGAGTGTAGAACTCTATACTAAATAAAATATATCTCATATAAAAAATATGACATATGAAACAGTGCCATTTGAAGGTTAAATAGTAACATTGAGTCAAGAAATCCATTTTATAGTAAAAAAGCCACAATTAGTCCAAAAGTAAATATCAGTTAAATACGCAACAGTTGTTTTTATAATTAATGTCTCAAAATATCTAGAAATGTCTTTAAAAATATTCTTTATTTACCAAATGCCTAAAACTTATTTATATTATAATGTCTCCATCCGTTAAATTTAATACACCAAGAAAAAAGTATATGTCTACTATACTTTATATAGTTGATATGTGTTATATAATAGTATACTACTGTACTATATGCCTAACTAAATCCTTAGAAATTGTTTATTAATTAACATACAAGTTACATATAGTAATCATGTTATATATAGGTTTTTTAGAAAAGTAGTGTACTGCAACAAAAATTCATTTTTATATTATTTTAATTACTTACATACAGCGCACCATAAAAATGTGTGAAAATAAAGATCAAGTACGGCTTTGGGTCAGTTGGTTAAGGTGCGCTGACTCTAAGCTTCAAATTTGGCAGGACACGAGTTCGATTCCTGGTACTTGCATTTTCAAAAAATTATTTACGAATAATTAAATACAAGAATTATTTTCAAGAACACTGATGATGGGTATTTGGAAATACTCGACACAGCTGTATGATCAGCCCAAAATTCAATTAATTAAAATAATATAAAAATTAATTTTTGTTGTTGTAGTTCACTACTTTTCAAAAAAAAGCTCTTTTTGAAACATACTAGTTTCAATTCAGTTTAATAGTCACTTAGAAGGTAACATTTGTGCGAACAATGTGAGTATCACGCATAAAATACACCTATACCTCGCTTAACGCCCTTAACTCGAAGTTGGCCATAAAACCGTTAAAGACCGTTAAACGAATGTATGAAAATAAAGAAATTGGTTCCAAAAAACAAAATGCCTATATGTAACGAGTTCAATATATAGCACAAAATTTATATATAATCACTATATCTGATATATATTTATTTACTGATATATGTATTTTTAAGATAGTCATGATAGTTTAAAAAACAAATGTAATGTTAGCTGTGTAACTTTTTTTTTTGTGCTCTTTTAGAACTTCCTTCTATGGTTACATAGCTTCATTAACTTTTTTGGGAACTTTCGAGCTATGCTAAGAAAGTAAATCTGCAATTTGAAAGTCACTGAGTACTCCATAAATTTTATCAAAACACTCCTACAGAACTTGCGATGTTAGTTTACAACAATTATCTGATACGTTTGCTTCTGTTTCATCGAAGTCTTCTGAATCATTTAGCTACAGCAGTTTCTCATTCGTGAGCTGCTCTCTTTCGTTTCTTAAAATTTGGTTGACGTCATCTATAATATAGTTCGCAAAACTACCTTATACCGCATTTTTTAAAACATTATCATTTATATTGATGTCAACATCAGCTACACGACTTCTGACGACGCAAAGGCTTCAAAAATTTATTAACAGATGTCACTTTTATTTCCTTCCACGATTGATCTATGTTTACATCTTTATTGTTCTAGTTCTTCCAAAAAGTTTTTTGACACCTTCGGCTATCTGTTACTTCTAAGAGCAATCGAAAAGTTGTTTGTAGATAATGCGCTTCAAATGTGGTTATGGCACTGCCGTAAAACAAGGTATATCTGTATATAATTTGTTTACTCCTCTGTATATAGTATGCAAAGTGCTACAGAAATCCTCTACAGACGCCTCTGCTACGTACGCAACTTCTCTAGTCTCGTACATTAAACGTGGCATCATCCATTCTAGCAACAAAACAAATCCAATGAAGCTGATGGATTCTTATTCGCTTTGACTTAGTTAGAACATCTCTGGAACATCTGACTAATGTTTATGTAATGATAATAAACAACTTATTGTTCATTAAAATGAAGTGTCGTCGCCAAGTCGTAAAAGAAATTTTCTCTCAAAAACTTCCAATGCTACTTTATCATATTTTGATACCGTTCATACTTCTATGTCATATATAAGCATAAGTAGGGTGACCGACTTATAAGCGTAAATTTTGTCGATCGGGAGAGAGCATCCATAATGAAATTGAAGAGATCACATTAGCACCGTGTTCATAGTTTTTCACAAATCTGGATCTTTATAATAAATTTATTCACGAAAATGGTTCTATACATTTAAATAATCTTAAGAATAATCATGAAAACTCTTAAATATCTCTCACTTATTAATCTGCAAATATAAGCAACTGAATGTAATTTATTTATAAAACCTTTATGAGGTTATTCAAATTTAATCGGCTTATTGAAACTTGAGGATTCCGCTTTTTATTATTTAATTTACTATAAATATAAGAACAATCAGAGTTCAATGTTTAGAAAATGGAAGGTGCAAATAATAAATTTTTCTTAGTTTAATAAGTAAATTTAATTAATGACTTCGGTATTATCTTTAGTTACATAAAAAAATCCAACTGATTTAACCGAACAGTTGACTTAAACTATGAAAATTCAAGCAAGTCACTCACGAAATTGATTTTAATTTGAGTTGTATAAAGTTAGGATGTTTCGTAAGGTCCACTATTATTTTTAAGCCTGGTATTTACTTGTTTGACACAGAATTCATGGTATACCAAACGACAAATCTCAAATAAAACAAAAAAAACTTCAACTGGATTTTTAAATGACTGTAAAGAATCATTCCGATAACTGTTAATTCGTTTTGATAAACTAAAAACTACATATACACTACTCACTAGTTACAGATGACTTGACCGTGGTACTGTGTTTAAACAGAGCCAGAACATGGCTCGAGCAAATCATATATCAACACGTCCCATAAAAACATCAATTGCCGAATACAATTTATTCATTAACAGCTGAATGGTTACCCTAAAATTTATCAAATTTAAAGTAAAATTTGTGTAATTGAAAATTTTTTCTCCACTACAAAACCTTTACTCTATACGAAAACAGACACATTTAAATTAAGACAATAAAATATTTAAATACATCTAATACACAGTAATATTATATAGATATTTTTGAACACTATGGTACAATATCTTCATTTATTTCATTTTGCATAATGTAACTAATTAAGAACTAAATACATTGCAAATTCAAAATCTATGTACAAAAATTAAGCAAAAAATTTACTGCAACAACGATGTTGTCTTATATATTATAATATTGAGGTTGATTTCTTTGTTTATTTAAATGCATATATTTCATATATGTAAGGGCGGGTGGATTTGTTTGTTAAAAAAACTTTGACAAAAACATAAAGCATAGCACAATTCTATAAACATTATGAAGCTACGAATAAATCATTCTGAATCCGCTAATTTTTTAAAATAGTCTATTTTTTGTACTTCAAAAAAACGGCTTTTACTTTATCAATTTTGAATAAAATAACGAAGACTTACTTAAAAGTATTCTTACAAAATTTTTAAGCCCACGTTCACAAAAATGTGAAGAAGAATACTGCACTAATCTTCCCTAGATAGAACTACAGTTTTTTGCTGTGAGAGTTAGCTACTAAATCCAAAATACAAAATCAGTTTATGCTTAAGGTTTATACTTTTTTAAGACTACTTAAATACCTTTGTTTTAAATCCAAATTGAATGTTATTTACAGAAAGTACTAACAAATTTTGAGCTTATTAAAAATTATTGCAATTTATTTTGAAGTAATTGCATAAAATTGTTTTCTACCCAAACTGCAAATTTTGCCTACAAAGTGAAGTTTGCAATGAGCTATATTAACACACCCATAAAATTGCTGCTCATCTTCAACTTTAATATAGACTCCACGTTACACTACAATTAAACGACAGCAGAATTTCTCATCTTAAATGTTAAGGTTTTCATTAAATACAAAATAATATAAAAATTATAATATGAAATAACTCAGTGAGACATCCTATCGGTGAGATGTGATACACACGCATTTTATAACAATATTTGCTCATCTACTTTTTCAGATAGACGGTAGAGCACTTAACAGTGGTTTATATCAACTTATCCATGACTAACAGCTATGGTTAGCACGTAGGCAAGAAACATGTTAATTTTATGTTGCTGAAATCAATGCGATTCTTGGCTTTGCTGTACATATGGTGCCATAGCATTTAAGCTGAACAATTTGTCGGTTTTGCACAATCAGTCCGAACTTAAACACCGGCCGCTAAAGACGTGATTTTATTGAGCCATGAGCAAATTAACAGTTTTCTGCCTTGTGGTGGGCACAATGTCAGCACTACTGACTCAACAGCCTGTAGAAGCTCGACCATTCTTTTTTAATATTTTCACACCAACAACAAGTTGTATGTTTGTAGCTTAAGTTGTGTGTCGGCAGTTATTACTAATATCTGTAAATGATATCTTTTGTATTTTAAACAGCAAATACTGTGCGTACTGAAACACAAACAACTAACAATTTTCCATTGGGGGACTTAATAAGTGCTAAACTACGATTTCTCACCACTTTACTTCAAGGAAACGTTTCTGGTGGTGTAGGATTTAGATTTAATAAATTTGGTGTGGCTAGCACAACTACTACAACCAGCAAACCAGATTATACAACTAAAGTTAATACTGTTTATGTTCCGGAAACAACCATTAAAATTGGAACTATCATAACTGCAACTGAAGAAAATAAAATTGACCTTATGCCATTGACTATCACCAAAAAACCTGATGTTGCAATAAGTGTGGATATAGACGCCGATCTTGCAACACAATCCACCACACAAGGTACAGCTATAGAAATCGCGCAAGAAGCATCCGATAATTTTACAACGATTAAACCTGATGTGGATTTTAATGTGAGCATAGACGCCGATCTTGCAACACAATCCTCCACACAGGGTACAGATATAAAAATACCTAAACCTAGTGTGGACGTTAATGTGAACATAGACGCCGATCTTGCAACACAATCATCCACACAGGGTACAGATATAAAAATACCTAAACCTAGTGTGGACATCGACGTTGATCTTGCAAACCAATCCACCGCACAAGGTACAGATATAAAAACGCCAAGACCTGGTGTAGACGTTAATGTGAACTTAGTCGCCAATATTCCAACACAATCCACCACACAGGGTACAATAATAGAAAACGTAAGCGTCGATCTTGCAGTAGAAGCGACGACAGCAGATTTTGAATACGAAACTACACAAAAAAATATTGAACAATTTACAACGAGCAAAGTTAATATTTACACATCAGAAAGCACAGGATATGTGTACACCACCAAAAAACCAGGTTATGAATACACCACACGCCATTCTGTAACACCAGGTTACGTCTACAACGTACCTGACTCGGCAAATGACGTTTACAATCCGTTTTTACCACCGTATTAATATTAAAATAAATTCATGAAAAACTTAATTACGGAAAATCAACCTGTATTAGAAAAACTATACAATCTCTTTTTTAAAATTACCAAATTTTAATTTTTTATGAAGCAAAAATCAAGTTTGTATACAAAATGTTCGACACGGAAATGATGTTAAAAAACACAATAAAAACAAATTAAACAAATTCGATAACAAAACACATGCATTGCATTAAAGTCTATTTTGCATATTCATAAGAGATGATGTATCTAGACAGCTTCTCTCCATACTGGTTCCCAACACTAACCCGAATACACACGCTCGTATTTCACTTTCATTGATTTCTTTGGAACATTTTCAAGGTAACCGAAGAATCAGAGTGACAGAGAAGAGGTAGTTCGTAGGTAATAAGTTAATTAAATAGTTTAGTTTAATATTAGTTGGGAATTTCAACTTCCTCCTTTCCGCGACATAAAAGATTGATTGTTTGAAAAATTTAGCACAAATGTGTGAAAATGAGAGAAGAAGAGCGGAGAAGATCACTGAAGATCGCTGACCAAATTTGAAAAAAATAAAACACAAATTTATATGGGCTTATGATCCATACCTGAAAAATAACAGATGTTGAATAAATTTATTCACATTTAAATCTGTTAATTTGGCTTCAAATTATCAAATTCAAGATATTATTAAAATTTTATTTATTTTTGACAACACGTTCACTTCCTAAAGTCGAATTAATTATAACAACTAATTTTTGAAGGTCAAAACTGCAAATATATGTTATAATGAAACTTAATTTAAAAATTTATTGTTTTTCAAACAATAATAAAATACGTTCACATTATTCAGATTTACCATATACATATATTAGCATATTAGTTAATACCCATAACATATACAACAATTTAATGAAGCTAAAAATGTTATATAATTTAAGTTTTTAAACATATATAAACATATCCGTACTATTAATTTTAGAAACAAAATATTACACTTCCCTAATTCAACAACTTCCAATGAGATAAATAATATTCAAATTATATGAAATTAAATGAAATTAAATCTACAACCTATTTTTCTACTAGATAACTAGATCTCTTGTCATAACACGCTAAAGGTCAAAAATTGAAGTTTTAATGTGTTTATAATTTCTTTTAAGAGGTACGAATTTAGTATTTTAATAGGTGCTTTGAATAGTCAGTCTCTTATTAGAGGTTCCCAGTTGATTTAAATCAAATTTTATAATAACCATTACAACCTACCCTAACAAATACTTTCAAAAAATACTCAACCAAATAAAGTCATGATCATAAATAACTTGATCAATAAGTCAAAATTTAGAAGGTTTAATAACTGTCAACAATCTACTTATACAGTCTATATAGTCGTCAATTTCCCACAAAGCATTACAAACATCTTACAAAACTGTATGTAGTCTTCTATATCATAACCTGGTTGTAAAAAATCTGAACAGTTATCGGTTAGATATTTTTTAAATTGTAAACGTTTTCAGAAAAGTATGAGTTGAGATGGAAAAAATTTACAGAAACTGGCGAAAGCTGTTTTTCTATATTAAAAATTAATCCTTTTAGCTAAAAACATTTTTAATATGAAAAATAATATGCACTTTTATAATAAAATATAATTATAAATGCAGGACAAAATAAAAAACATACTGATATAGTAAGGTTCGCAGTAAGAAAATACATATTATTGTAATCTTTTACTCTATATTTATTTTATAGACTAAAACCTATAAAATGGATGTTACGGAGCCAGGCGCACTTTTTCGACAAAAGTGGTTTTGACAGTGTATATATATAGCACTCCTTCTCCTCATCACAAGAATATTGGTGCTGAGCCACTTTATTTACAATTCGGTTTTGTTATATTTAAATAAAAATATGTATTGTAAATCAATATGTATATATAGCTTCCCGTCGGATATCATTAACTGTATATAAGATCAAATATATGTATTTAAGATAAATTCAACTTTAGCAGACTCCGTATTTAAATTTAAGTGCTAAGAGAAAAACCTGTACTTTATATATTCTATCATTTTCATATGCCCAATAACATTAAGCTGTGAATAGATTATTTAATATGTTATTAAACAAATTAAAAGTTCCTGTAAGTTATTTTAAGCCGTAGTTATCGTCATTCCAAATTATTTTAAATATCCAATTATATCAGCTTTCAGCTTTTATATATGTGTTTGTTCACATATCTTCTATTTTTCTTCTTTGCTATCTAATTAAAACAACGTCGAAAGTACATACCTAAACTTGTATTATGAAATTGGTCGTGCTACTTCAGTACCTGTCTTCCATACAGCCTTCCATATAGTGTTTTTGAGCTCTACGATTACTCGTAATCTATTTGCACTTATGCAAATTCCTAAATAATAATTATCGACAAATATCGAAATATTTTAATATCAATAAATTATTAATCTTAATAATTGTGTTTCGCCTGTGTATATTAGAAATGGTTCTAATATTTAATATATTGAAATTATACACAACTGATCAAAACTTCTACAGTTTTAAGGAATATATTTTATTTTATTATTTTTATGTGTGAAATACTTTTCAAAATTTTATCATCTAAGCATGCTTTTACCACTGTGCTTTTTTAGATTTATTTCATCATAGGTATATTATATGGCCCATACATCTGAAAAAAAGTACTCAAAATCTTTCGGTTGCCGCACACATTTCATGAGAAGTCCATTCTTTCGACTATTGTTCTATTTTTGGATATGCATAGCCGTTTTATCTAAAGGTTCAAATCAGCTGGCATACTAGATACTATTTAGATGTAATAACACGTCTTTGTTCCACATTGAGGACGTACTTTGCTGAAAAGGTTTAATATGTAAACTATTACAAATGCGTCTAATTGACATTTTTACCACATTAGTTATCTAGTGCATCTCTTGTAGATGATTTTCTGTCACTTGATCAAATTCTCCATATTTTTTATTGAACTTTCTTTTTGTGTCAGAAAAGGTCATCACTCCAACCTTTATCACTACTCACAAATAATTAACATTTAACTACTCAACTATGAAATTCTTCTTTTTTTCATTTCTGTAAGCTTCATTTTAGGTATATGCTTCAAAAATTCGCTATGAATCTCTCATTATGTCGAAATAATGTATGTACATAAAGCTAAGCTCTTAAGTACTACTAAACAAATATTTAAAATTTTTTTTTAAATTTATTTAGAGTTCAGTTATTACTGACTTAACCAAGACCGCTCTTATATTTACGTAAGTATTCATAAAGCAGTTGCGATGTATGTACTGCAACTTTAAAGCATATATAATGCATTATTTTATAACCCAAAAATTTAAAAAAATACAACTGAGCAAAATAATTAAATTAAAAGTCTTTATTTTGTGTTTCAATACTAAATATTCGTATTTCGTTGCATTCGAAGTTGCAGAGCCAAAGAATTTGTTGAGTAATTTGAAATGCAACGCACGTGCGTTTGGTTTATAAGTTCATCAAATGCAAAAAAGGATTCAACATGAAGCAAAATTAAGTGGGAATGTTTTTATTACAAAACAAAATTCGCTAAAAAAGGATGAAAGCAACGGTTGTGCATACGAATATAAAGCATTAAAATGGGAAGCTGTAAATCGAGATCACAGCCAAACGTTAACAATAAAACTGCCAGTTATGCCAGTGCAGCCAAGAGACCAGAAGCACGTCTTCCTATGGCATCTACAGTGTTGCACGAAAATGTTAATTTGAAAATATAAAAACAAAAATAAATTATAAAAATTCCTAACTTTGCCATAAAATGTATCGCAAAAATATGCAATTTGCGTACTTAGCGCAAAACAAAATTGAAAGCAGAATATTAAAAAAAACCAGCGTCCTAATTAACCCCAATTGCTGGACTGGAAAGGGTGAAAAGTTTTAATTCCCAACAAAATTTAATTCACATAATCGAATTCTTTGCTAATGAACTTCATGACTTTGCCTCGACAACCAAAACAAAAAAAAAACAAAATTCTCTTAATTTCTTAGCTCTTGTTTTTATTCTACTCATCATCACATAAATAATTTACGCATAAACAATACGTTTCATAATTGAGTTTAACCCATTTTTTATCCTTAATTCAAGGTCTCCTTTATTCACTACACTTTCCACAACATCCTTTGATGCTGGTTTTCATATAAATTTTTTCTTAATATCCTCTGGTACGCTAACACCAAAATGAGGTCCCTTAAGTTCCTGGTCTAGCAATGTTCATAGGAAAGTAATTAGCGATAATGCAGAATATCCATGAAATATTTATATTAATAATATTATTTATTCTATTATTTGTGAAAAAAATCAAAATATGTAATTGTTTAATAAGAGACAGATTCTTGAAAATATTTTAAAAGTTAAATTAAAATTCTAATAATTAGGTTAGGTTAAGTTATGCTGGCAAACCAAAAAGGCCACGCGTAGAACATTAAGGTCCATTGCAATACCAGATCAGAGTCTTATTTTAACGATTGTGTGCATCACTTCGGATGTGCCTTTTCTTTAGCGAATTTTATTTGGATTTCAACAGAAACCTCAGGTATGTGTTTCAGTGGGATAAAACTGACAGGCCCCAAGTATTTTTGTCGAGTTCCCGAGAGAGCCTGGCAGTTACACAGCAGATGCTACAGAGTTTCCTTTGCATCCGGTTCGATGCAAGCATCGCTGTGAATAAGGTTTAGTTTTTGTACATGTGATGCGACCAGACAATGACCTGTCAACACACCAATTAATGTTCTTCAGTTTCTTCGGTAAGACGATATACCATCCTTCGTCTCCTTTTCCTACACATGATCCTAGCTATTCTACAGTTGGTTAAGTTTCGCCACCTTTCCTTTGCTCTCCTTGTCATGTGTTCGGCATGTGTTGTCATCTCTAATTTAAGATTACAACATTTTTAATGTATAAAAAATTATCAAGAAATTAAATCTACCAAATAACTTATATACCTATATCTTTAATAAACTTGCGCAGTGTCATCTATTATTCAATAATAGAACTAATGCATGGACTTTATA